ATTTGTATGATCAAAATTTTATTTACAACATTAATCCCATAACATTATTGATTGCTGTTGGAATTTTGTAATTATTTCATTTGATTGGTAACAGCCCTGTAGTGTATTACATTTCTTGATCAATTGTAAGAATTTGACATGAAAGATGACACATACATTTAATAAGGTAAAAAAAAAAAATTGGCCTTTATAAAGGTAAATGACATCCTGTGGTAAATATTAAAAACATGCAGATTTAAGTATGTAAAAGCTGACAGAAAACTGATGAAAATATTGCTTCAGAATAAATTGTTTACACCACCAAAAATCTCGGTGATGCGACACTTTTGTTTTGTGGGAATATTTTGTATGGGATATTGTCTGCTGATATGAAAAGTTCACTGTATATCGTAATAACAAATAGAATTTTTGACAGTGATGATATTTTGTTTTCTTTTTACATTTAAATGCGTTAAATATTAATATACGTATGTAATATAATGTGTATTTCCATCACAGGCTTGGTCTTAAATTTCACATAAGGTGGTATTAAAAAGGTCTTAAAAAGTCTTAAATTTAACTTGTTCATATCTGTAGACACCCTGTATATATATTTACATTTTTTGTTAAATCAACACAAGCAAGAATATTGAATCATATTCAAGTGAAGCATCATGAAACTAGTCTAACAATATGACCACTTCAGGGTTAATATAAAAATATATTAAAGTCATTACAGTGTTCACATTGTTTAATTTGAAATGACTGTCAAAGTCATTGTAAATATATAGTAAATTAACTATGTCTAATTAGACAATTAAAGGTGCAGTAGGAGATCTTGGAAAATGCTAACTTTAGCCTGATAGCACTGAAAGCGAACGTCCCACCCTCTCTGCAATCGCCGTTCAAAGCCACGCCCCCTGAACGCATAAACACTCACAGACCAGAATACCAGAGACAACATTACTACAATAGGCTACATCAGCGGTTCCCAATTCCAGTCGTCGCATTTATTTACAGAGGTATATTATGTCACACTTCACACTTCTCTTGTAAGTTTCGTCTGTGTGTGAAGACGCTGCGCAGCGCAAATCCGTGAATGAATGTTCTGAAGTTAAGTAAACTTCAAAGGATTTCCCCTGCTTAGGGAGCAGGGAACCGCTGGGCTACATCATGTGTCATTCACCTGTGAGAAAACTTTATAGTACTGTTAGTAAATGTACTACAATACCAGGAAGGAAGATCGGGTTGTTGATGTTTGTCTGCCATTCTCGCTCTGTCTGCACAGCATGCGAGAACGCGCTGAAAGACGTATCCTGTCTGCGCGAACTGGGTGCGCAGAGGTATGCAAATACAAATGTTGACAGGCAGGTAGGAAAGACAATTAAAATGCTCGGACCGAGCGTTTTGATTGGACGAACATTTCTTGTTCCTACACCTTCCACATAATATATAAAGACATTTAGACCACTTAACTTAATGATTGCTATCGGGATGTGAAGAGACTTTCAACCAGCATAACAAAAAATGTTTCTGAAGACCATCACCTATTGCACCTTTAACAATTATTTTGATAATCAATTAATCAGATGAAAAATAAAAAAAATAAAAAAATAATAAATCAATTAATTTTAACACATTTTTTACCAACTGTTTTTGGACGACTTGTGCATTACTGTCCAAAGGTTATGTAAACAAATATAATGAATGTATCCATGTAGGTTGTTCTGTACATTATGTGTGAAAAGGGTTAAATATAAATATTAAATTTCTATACAAAAAAAACTGATTGATTACCACTTAAAAATTAAAATTAAAATCACTAAACTAAAAGTGATATTACAGGAAAATCAAAGCGCAGACTGAATATTAACTGCTACGAAGCAGGATGAACATGCACATTCATCTAAACAGTAATTATATGAAATTTATACTCCAGTATAACAGTCTCTATACAGTGACTGCTCTCTGTGTCACATGCAGAGTTAAACATCAAACGACAAATATTTTAGCAAAATGTTTATTTTAGTCAGAATTATTGTGCTCCCATTCTATTGCGGCTTCAGTCTGATGTCAGAATGATTCTTTATGGAAATGGAAGTAATCACATAACTCCCTAGCATTTTAAAATGTAAAGACATGATTAATCTATAATCAGATTTGTTGTTAACTATTTTCGTTATTGATTTTATCAATTATTTGTTGCAGCCCTATTTGTAATGTGCTGTTTGGTGCTTGCAGATGCAGTCATTGCCTCCTAACGTGGCAGGAGGGGTGGTGTATCCCCCCGCTGGCCCTCCCAGCTATCCTGGAACGTTCAGTCCTGCTGGCTCAGTGGAGGGGTCGCCCATGCATGGAGTCTACATGAACCAGCCCGGACAGACAGCTGCCGGTGGCCCGTACCAGGCCATGCCTGTGTCAGCTACAGGTCAACCAATCATCCTCTGTCTTTATCACTCTTTAAAAATCAGTTTAATGAATAAACCACATCAGCTTCAAATGTGGCACTTTTTTATTTAATAGAGTGTGTCTGCTCACTGTCTTTTAGATCCCAACATGGTGAACGCTTACATGTATCAGACTGCAGGCACCAGTGGGCAGCCAGCCGCCCCTGGACAAGCAACCACCCCTGCCTACACTAACTATCAGCCCACACCGACACAGGGCTACCAGGTCAGGAGATCAATTTACATCTTCACATTTACCTAAATGTTCATATTATTTTACTGCTTTACAAGTACTGTTATTTATGGAAGCCCGTTTCTGCCACTAAATAAAAAAATAAAAAACGACAATTGTGACTTTTTTTTATCACGCAATTAACTTTTTTTTCCTCACAGTTGCAAATTACATCTCGGAATTCTGACTTTTTTCTCAGAATTCAATTGCATGTTTATATCTTAATTCTGCCTTTTTTTTTTTCTTCTCAGAAGTGTGGTAAACTTGCAGTTGCGAGTTATAAAGTCCAATTCTGACTATTTTCTTACAATTGCGTGTCTATATCTCACAATTCTAACTTTATAACTCACAATTGCGTTATAAAGTCAGAATTGTGTGTTAAAAAGTCGCAATTACCTTTTACATTTTTTATACAGTAGCAAAAAATGGGGCTTCCACAGTTATTTCCTTCAGGAAGAGCAAGTCTAGTTAATGAGTTCTACAGTTAATTTGAAAGTGTGGCATGAATGTTTGCATGTTCGTTTTGTAGAACGTGGTCTCTCAAGCTCAGAGTTTGCCCCCGATGTCCCAGGTTGCCCCCACCAACGGTATTGCCTACATGGGCTACCAGCCATACAGCATGCAGGTACGTTTACTGTATTTAAAATATTTACGTTTTACTGTATCAGATCGCAGGTTGTGTCTTGCATTACAACCTGTATGTCTCAGATCTGATGTTCTTCCCTGCTTACAAAAACCATATGGAAAGGAAAGTTTGGAGACTGGCACTGATTGCTGTTAAACTTCTTTTGCAGAATATGATGACCGTTCTTCCAGGACAAGACTCCAACATGCCTCCCCAACAGCCCTACATGCCTGGGCAGCAGCCTATGTACCAGCAGGTCAGCATTTTTATGTAGAAACGTTTTATTTGTGTGGAATAGCTTACTATTCTCTTACTATTTCAACAGTATTTGTGAAGTACGCACCTCAGGCATTTTATACTGTTTGGTCAAATTAATCAGAAATATGCAGTATACAGTGGAGCACACTAGACAGAATATTATATCGCAAAATGCAATGTGCTCGACCTTCAGTTTCATTTGTGAAAACTCAACCTGAAGTAATTACACTTTTTTTTTTTTTTTTTTTTTAAGTTAACATTTTTATACAAAGTTTGATATAAACACGAAACATGACTAATTATTTCCGAGATGATAACTTTAAAACATTAAGCAGCACAATTGTTTCCAAAATTGAAAATCAGCATAGAAGAATAATTTCTGAAAGATCTTGTGACACTGAAGACTGTATTAATGGCTGACGAAAATTCAGCTTTTTTATTATCTTTTTTTTTTATATCAAGTATTTTATATAGTGTATTATATTAAATAAGTATATTAAAATAAAAACTACTGTTTCTATATTAAAAAGAAAATTACTGTTTTTACTGTGTTTTTGATCAAATAAATGCAGCCTTGATCAGCATAAGAGACTTCTTTAAAAAAACATTCAAAATCTTTTTTTAAATCTTTACTGGAAAATGAATGGGAAACTGCTTTCAGATTCAATGCCTCTGACAAAGTGCTGGGACTGTAGCACTTTATAAATCTGAATTATGTTGTCCTCTCGTGTTTTTAAACAGATGGCTCCCCCCGGCGGTCCGCAGCAGCAATCACAACAGCAGCCGGCGCAGGCTCCTCCGGGCAGTGCAGAGGCTCAGCTCATTTCATTTGACTGATCATAGCTCATCATATGCCTTTACCCACCAGGTCCAGCACACTACATTCAAGCCTCCCTTACCCTGCTGTTTCTGGGTTTATCACCCTGCACCTGCTCTCGCTTCACTGTGCTCCACAGATACTAGTATGAAGGTGTACAAATATTGTAAAAGCATTCGGCTGTCTGAGTCCCCCTCCTCTCTCGGTCTCTTTCAATGAAGGAGGAGAGGCTACAGATGGAGCTGGTGGGGAACCTTTGTCTCTTAACTGGAGGAATCTCACAAAACTCAATGTCTAGATCATATTTACCGCCCCCCCCCTTGCGCTAAAAAAATAAATATATTTTAGACCATTGCATTTTTTTGTATTGTGACATCAGGTATGACAATTAAATGTTTCCTTTCTCCATTCTCATTATTGCAAAGCAGAAAATTGGTATTTAATTTAAACTGTAAAATAGTTACATAGTAATATTTGAAGAGTTCAGATGCAAAAGCCTCAAGTGCCATTTGAAATGTTCTTCTAAAATGAGCATTTTTATCAGGCTCCTATGTGTAGGTTCAGTAATTTCACTTTAATGGCAATGCATAGATTCTTTTCATTGACATTAAAGTGAAATAACTGAACATAAACACAGGAGCCTGAGAAAAATGATCATTTTAGAAGAAAATTTCAAATGGCACTTAGAGGCTTTTGCATGTGAACTCTTCATTTGTTGTTCTGCCTTTATCCTGATATCCTGATTTAAAAATGACTATATTAGTAATGAGATTCACCATTGACAATTATTAGAATTACCAAAAAAAACAAAAAACAAGTTGCCTTGACACGTTAAACATATGAGAGTTTTGGTGGAAATATGATTTATGAAGATGCAAAGAATCTTAATGGTCCTAGAATGTTTAAAGCCCATTTCTGCAACATAAAATAGTAATACTTTGGTAAATCATAATTATGACACAAGTTGAAATGTAATGTCAAAATTATACAATACTAAGTCATAATTGACACAGTATGTCATTAATGTCATAAGGTCAACTTATTTAAAATTCAAAGTTGACATTGTAAGTCATTATGAGAAAAAGATTCGTCATAATTAAGACTTTGTATCTCAGAATCATGACTTTAGTATCTCATACAAAGTCAAAACTGAGATACTAAGTCATTGTCAAAGTTCTACTTTGTCATAATTGTGTTTTGTCAATCTCAATTATGACATTGTATCTCTTAATTTAGTTTTTTTTTTTATTACACTAAGTCATAGTTCTGACAGTCAAAATTATGAGATACTAAGTCATATTTGAGATAAAAAGTCAAAATTATGATCTCATAATGATCATATAATTAATATCCCATAATGTTGATGTTTTATCAAAGAAGTTTCACTAAAGCTTAGGTGGCAGAAATGAGATTCTATTCAAAATATGAACTGGACATGTTGTGAGATTCATCCTACCTCTAACTTCCATCTCTAGATTTTCACAAATGTAGTTTTTCCTCATAAAACTAAGCTGATGTGAAGTTAGCCATTCGTACCATAGAGAAACAAACACAATACGATTCAAAAAGACATAACCATCCTTTGTCTTGTATTTTTCTAAGATGTGTTTGCATGAGTGAATACGTGACAGCCATGTTTTTTCTTTGGTTAAGAGACTTGCTGACTTTAGCAGAGTCACTGCGGCATCATAGCAGGTTTTCAGTTCCGATTTGCTCTGAAATGCTGTAAGATCATGTGACATTCCAGTGCTGGTTTCCATGGTTGCGATTCTAGAGATGCTTCAGAAGCTCTGCGTTTGGGGTCAGTGTTGTGGAATCCTCGCTAATGATTTATGCGGTAGATGGCGCAAACATTGACTTCTGTCGTATAATTAACAGCCAATGAGATGTCAACTTTACTGCTATTTGCATATCACCAATCTATTCAAAGTAAATAGGCTGGTGTTTCCAGATACTACATGTAAGTTTGCCAGACGTCACATCTATTTGTCTTTGCTCTTTGTGGATCTTCACAGAGTGGCTTGGCCAGGGGTTCAGACCTGACTGCGCAGAACTAGACCAATCAATCGATCTCAAAGCCGCGGTTTCATTACCAATTAATTACAGTGCAAAATTGAGTACTGGATCAATGGCAGACAAAGGAAGTCTATTTTTAGACAGCGATTGTAAAAACTGTTGACAGCCTGTGGATGGTTTTGATGGATGACGTGAACGCTGCATGTTTGTAACACACACACACACAGAACCGGTGACGTCTGTAACCCCTTTAATATCATCTTTATTCCATACTGATCCGCCTCATGATAAAAATAATACATTTTAAGATCATATTTAATAAATATCTTGTTTTTTATTGGTCACACATTAGTGGAAATGTTTCTTTTCCTGACTCTGAAAGTATGTGCACAATAAAACCATGTCAGTCTGTTAATTTGTGTGTTTGAAGTGCAGGCAGAATGAGAAACTGACTAAAAGAAAGTGAAACGTTGTAAATATTTTATCCTGGAAACTGGATCCATGTTCTCTGGATGGACAGATTTCCTACGGTTTTCTGAAGACAAGGCATTTGTTACTCTCAGACATCTCGATCTGTTGAATAACACACCAGACAGAGGTTATCAATGCTGGTTTCAAACACGAAACTTAAGAATGTCCTGTCACATTTAATCTCTAAATCATAAGATAGACGTGAGGAATTATATTTTGCTTAAAGAAAATGAAGCCTGTATTTAAGACCATTAAGATTTAGAGCTTTGTGAATTTGTTATGATAATTTAGCAATTAAAACCTCCCAAATCCTCATTACTGTTACACAAAAACTTGGATTGCAGTGTGAATTCAGTGAATTAATACAGTGTGAATTTTAAATTTGCATGTTATGATTGTAATATATTCTAATTTAAATAAAGAAAAATGAGAGAATGAGAATTACAAACAAATTGATGATAATAATAAAGTAAAACATTATGGTGATTAGAATTATGGGACAAAATATTCTTAATTGTTGTATGATGTCATGATGCTAAAAATAAAAATGGTTCTAAAATAGGTTTTATAAAACGGATAGTTCCGGTCCTTGATTCTGATTGGCTGAGCCACGTTCGAAGCTGTTGTAAATTACTCTACAAACATACACCTTTGTTTACTTTTGTCTGTGGCTTGGCAACCACTTTGTTGCAACCACAACCGTTTCTGAGGAACTACATTGTTTGGTGGAAGAATACTGTTTTTATTAATATCATTACACTTTATTTGCTCTGTTTTATTTTGTGAAACCTTACTACGTATATGGAATAACCGTTTTATAAAAGCAATAAGCCCCACTTCGCATCATGCCTAACAACTCCCCTTAGCTGTTATAAATTCACTGTAAACCACGGCTTCACGGGGCTTATTG